ACAAACGCTTGGCTTTGGACACCTCCATAAGGATTCACAGAGTTTGTTTTAGGAGTATCGGGGTTTAGGGTTGAGGGGTCTAGAGTTTATGCTTTAGAGGTTGACTGTTTAGGGGTTCAGGGATCTAGAGCTTCGGGCTTAGTCGAGTCAGGATTTCTGGGTTGGATTTGTCCGGGGTCTGGGTTTGCGGTGACAGTGACATGTTCATCCAAAAGGTTCACATATCAGTTGACATCTACAGCGAAAATCTGGATTCACCACCAACCTTGTTGCCAAAAGCTTTAAAGACTCAAGGACTCTACGGCCTTGCGGCCTTGGGCCAAGTCGGCAGCGGCGAACGAGTGCACTGTACCAAAAGCCTACAGAAAGCAATTCCGAACTGACAACAGGCACCTCGCATCTGCAATCCATACATACAACCATGTAAACCGAGACCTCATACCGATGCAAATGTATCCGCACAATGCATGCAGCCCAGAGGCGAACTGCCAACGTGCCCACTGCATGAACGTGACGATTGTAAACCATGACCACATGCGACATGCGTGTCAAGACATACCGTGTCCGTGTCTTGCCACAACCCTGCGGTCAAGCGCCCAAGCATTCAGTATGTAAGATGCCTAGACATGAGTATGACGTAGAATCATGTTCTCATCCGCTCCTTTTGGAGTCGAAGACTAAGACCACCGCCAACACCCCCTTCTAGCGAACTCTCACGATAGTTGGAGGCCGCCGTAGATGTCCCAGGCCTGCAGCATTCATAATCCAATACCACAGCCAACATGATTCGACGAGACTTTAGAGGACAGTCTACTCAAGAATTTTGGAATCCAACAAGAGTCCGTGAGCGCTGAGAGACATGTTGAGTCTTCCTCATCGCTCGCTTTTGGGCATGGCAAGCTAGCTTCTGCAGGTTGAAAGTGCGGGACATGACCTTGTAGCTTAAGAGATCAACGCCATCTTGCGCACAAGCCTCCAAAGATGAAGGGCCTATGCAGCCTTTTAAACTTGATTGTCAGCACCCTGCCTCTGCCTCTGCGGGAAGATGTGGCCGAGCACCAGGAGGCTGAGAGAAATACACGGCCACTGCGCTTTTCTTCCACACGAGCCTTGGCTGGGCTTCGTCTCTAAAACCTTCCTTACTTGGAGTCCGGGACAGAGCGATATGAGCACAGAGCTTGGGTCCAAAAATCCGCGGCGTCAGCCTTGCATGCATGTTGGCAGCAATCGCAGCGTCGACTTCTAGTAGACCGCAACCGCCCTGGCGGAGCACTCTGGTTTTCATGCCAGAGTCTATCTCGGACAGAACCAGACAAGATCGAGAATGCAGCGAGAGCGGTCCATCTTTGACCGTCATCAAGGCAATCATTAAGTCTTGTTGGTGTTGTTCAAGTGTCGAGATACAGGACTGCACCCGTGGCAGGCAGTGGCCATGCAGAAAAGGCAGGTCGAAACGCTCGGGAAGTCAGCAAACGTTGGCTTGAGGCATGCTTCCTGGCTACAATCCGTGAAGACGATGCATGCACACTCTTGAACAGGATTTTCCGAAATTGGGCCCTACCATCAGGACGGTAGTAGACCCTCCCTTCTCTCGAAGCGGCTGACAGGCAAAAAGACCTGCCCGGTGGGCGACATGTCCGCATGGCCTGAGAGCTGCAGCCATCAAAGCCCCGTGGGCCCCATGGCCATCCTCCGGCACATCAAAGAGTGCTAATATGTCTAAGGCCAGCTGGCCTGTGGGCTACACGCCAGACTTGGAGCATGGCATGTTGATGTGCTCTGTGCCCTCGTTGAAAGCACCGCTGATTCGTTAAGCAAGGTCCATGAGGGAACTCTGACACTGTGAAGGGCGCAGCTTCCCAGAGAACCGGAGTCGTGGCTTCACGGAGTCACGGGCACAGCCTTAGAGCCTTAGAGCAGCATCGCAGCCTGTGCGGTGAGACTTGCTCGAAGGTCCCGTGCAATGACCTCAGGAGTGGTGCGACTTATTCCGGAAACACCGGACGGCAAGCCATGGTCTAGCAGGCCTCCGTGCTGCAGGCCCAAGCAGGCGACGGCTTTCACGGTGCTGTGGTGGAACTCCAGCAAGACGGAGCCGAGGCCGCCGCTCAATTCCGACCCCGATCCACACGAAGCTCTCTTTTGCATGCCATCCGATCGAAAGCTTCCGGGGGTGCCCCGGTTTCAGAGCATGCCTGCCGTCTTCATACTCGCTGCACACCTCCGCCGACACAAGCCCTTGCCCATAGATGAGAAGCTGCGAAACTGGTGCGAGTATCCGAACATGCCCACCAGATCAAACGTGTCTTTGGCATGTGTAATCGGCATGCCCCGAATCGGTGCCAGTACGCCCTGGGGTCGATGGTCTGCTGCTGTGCTCTGCCTTACAGGCTGCCAGCAGTCTGCACAAGTCGGGACGCAGAGATCGATTCGAAAGCTGATCGAAGGCTTCGCGAACATCCTGCAGTTCACCTCATCCGAGCAGCTTACTGGATGCCCAGAAGCAACTGGGACATGCCTCATCGGACGGATGCAAGCACTGCTGATAGAGGGCAGTCGAGCAGTGCATCACAAGGCTGGTGAAAGCATGCGAAAAAGCACTCCAGATCTATCTTGTGTGGTTTACAATCGGCATGCCAAATTGTTCTCAATACGCACTTGGGTCAACAAACGTGATCTGCTGCTGTGCTCTGCCTTACAGGCTGCCAGCAGGCTGCACAAGTCGGGACATGCAGAGATCGATTCGAAAGCTGATCGAAGGCTTCGCGAACATCCTGCAGTTCACCTCATCCGAGCAGCTTACTGGATGCCCAGAAGCAACTGGGACATACCTCATCGGACGGATGCAAGCACTGCTGATAGAGGGCAGTCGAGCAGTGCATCACAAGGCTGGTGAAAGCATGCGAAAAAGCACTCCAGATCTATCTTGTGTGGCTTACAATCGGCATGCCAAATTGTTCTCAATACGCACTTGGGCCAAAAAACGTGATCTGCTGCTGTGCTCTGCCTTACAGGCTGCCAGCAGGCTGCACACGTCGGGACATGCAGAGATCGATTCGAAAGCTGATCGAAGGCTTCGCGAACATCCTGCAGCTCACCTCATCCGAGCAGCTTACTTGATGCCGAGCAGCAACTGGGACATACCTCATCGGACGGACGCAGGCACTTACCTATGAGCCTATGAGTATATTGAGTATGCGTGACAAGATGCTGACAGAGAGCAGTCCAGCAGTGCATCACAAGGCTGGTGAAAGTATCCGACTAGGCACTCCAGATCTATCTTGTGTGGCTTACAATCCACACGCCGAAGTGCTGTCAATACGCACTTGGGTCAAAAAACGTGATCTGCTGCTGTGCTCTGCCTTACAGGCTGCCAGCAGGCTGCACAAGTCGGGACATGCAGAGATCGATTCGGAAGCTGATCGAAGGCTTCGCAAGCAGCCAGAGCTTCGCCTCATGCAGAGAAGCAACCGGGACACCATGACAAGATGTGACAAGATGCTGCGACCGCCCAATCAGGCCCGAATCAAAGATGTGCCTTACTGCAGGCCTGCTGCCAGAAAGCTGCAAGCGGAAGGGATGCGATGAGGACGCATGACGTCGCTGCCGCCGCCAAGCTTACATCGCCTTCCACCGTGCTGGCTAAACACGGCTCTATGCTCCCGGGTGCAAGCAAAACAGGCGTGTGCAAGTCTTCTGTAGCCACGACCCTCAGCAAAGAGCTGCGTCGGAGCCCGTGCATCGCAGGGAAGGCCCCAAGAATCTTAACAATTACTTGGGGAGTGCTTGCGATGACACAGAGTGGTCTTGCTCCGAAGATCCGCCCGCGACAAAAGTGAAGCCCTCCTGCAGAAGGTCGGCCGGGAACTCGTACCGACATCGCTTCCTCGAGGAACTGCGGGCCGGGGCTGCTTGACCTGCTTACCAAGCCGATGACCTGAGAGAACCAACAGAAAGGCCTCGAGGATGCAAGGGGGACATCATTCCTTGCGAAACAACAGCTCCTGCTTGGGCTGGAAATGAAGGAGCGCCCAATGACCCGTACGGCAACACTACCTACTCGCCTGTCGGACGTTACAAGTCGGCATGGGTAACCAGCAAGATCGTGCAGCGGCTGGAAGCAATTGATCTGTTTTTTGAGAGAAAACTCAGCACACATTCAATCAAGTGCTGATTGGGCGAGCGCAGGGACCTGTAGCCGCAGGGACAGAGGAAAAGACCGAAGGACCCTGTGGCGTGGCCAGCGACAGTCACAAGGCACCCCGGGGACTAACTGCTCTCCACGTACTTTAAGGTCCAACCTCCAAGCTTCCGCCTGGGTCAAGCCGTCATCGATCAGGCAACACGTGTTGGGGCCACACGGCGCGAGACATGTTTGGACAAAGCGGCGTGTGTCACGTGGCAGCAAGCTTCTCAAGCCGACTGTGGTGCAGAGATCCGGCCCGATGCTCAAGACCCTAAACCCTAAACCCTAATGCCTACAAGGCACGGGGCCTTGGCCCTGTGGGGCCTTGATCTCGCCCGATGAAGACGGAGGCTTTCCCGACATTTATCGTGCAATCGGACGCCTAGAAAGGTCACATGCTGACAAGGTCGTGCTGTAGGAAGACATCGGAGTCTCAGCATCCAGAGTAATTCAACACGATTTCAGCGGGGAGATCTGGTGCTGCAAGCTTGCATGGACAGGGACGGTCTATGATTCAGGCTTGTGTTCTTATCCGCCCCTATGGTAAAGCGGCTCCCATCCCCACAGCCCGATACTTGTCAACACAAGAACCCCACGACGTCAGGAGCGATTTGCCAACACACTGGGACCGGAGCAACACAGGCGCATCGAGTCGTTTTTTTCAATTTTCATTTGGCACCAGCCAGCGAAAAGTCACTGTTGTCCAATTTCGGCCAGCTTGTGCCTACCGAAACGGACGGACCAAACGGTCTCCTTCGGGAAGCAAGAGCTTGGTCTTGCAGCCATTGCAGGGCCTGGTATCGGTACACGGACTCTAGCTCAAGGCGCCCGTGACGGGCGCAGACACTGCTATCTTGCTGGAGGGCGGAGGGTGTTGGACAGAAACCTTCTTCGAGACGAATGCAGCTTTTGAAGTCATGAATCCTTCCGTCGATTGTGGCCAACGCACCTGCTGCACCATTGACCCAGCAATCCGGCCTACGTTCCACTGGCGGGGTGCAGTGCTTGCAACTGCAAGCTCGATCTGGTGTGACACACAGTCACAGTCTGCCGATGGGTCTGCCCAAATCGCTGATGGTGTGGCTGCCGGCACGTCGTCCAAGAGGGGTGGCTGCTTGACCTGCTTACCAAGCCCATGACCTGAGAGACCAACAGAAAAGCCTCGAGGATGCAAGGGGGACATCATTCCTTGCAAAACAACAGCTCCTGCTTGGGCTGGAAATGAAGAAGCGCCCAATGACCCGTACAGCAACATTACCAACTGGCCCATCGGACGTTACAAGTCGGCATGGGTAACCAGCAAGATCGTGCAGCGGCTGGAAGCAATTGGTCCTAGCCGCGGTAGCATCCGCGCGAGCCAGACATCGACTTCGACGCCAGACAGCTTCGGTCAGTCTAACGCGTTGCAGTCGCAAGCTTGGTGTCTTACGGCGTGTTCGATGCGACACCGCGAGGTTGTCGCAGTGCTGCTGTCATGTGAAGCGCAAGCTCGATCTGGTGTGACACACAGTCACAGTCTGACGATGGGTCTGCCAAAATCGCTGATGGTGTAGCTGCCGGCACATCGTCCGAGAGGGGTGGCTGCTGTCCCTGAGAGCACTGCTCGCTGACCGTGCAAGTGCTGCCACGCCACCTGAGGATTTGCGCAGCACCCACGCGAGAAACAAAGGTCATAAGCTCGAAAAGACCTTGTCGCAGCGACTGCTGCTGTGCTTCTGCGAAGGCCCTGGCTGTATTCTCGCACACAGGTTTACCAAAAAAAAACACCACAACAAAGCCACCAGCATGCCCAAGTCCAATCTCCAACAGTGTTGGTGTTCAACCCTGCGTGCCCTTGAGACATGTGTGCAGAGAAGGCGGGGTCGCTAGCCGCTGCATGCCTTAGCCGCCCTCCTTCCAACATCTCCAAATCTCAGACCCAGAAATCAAGGTCGGAATCAAGCTGTCCGTGATCTGCTCATGGCAGCACGGATCGGTCGCTCAAATGGCCCACATGCAACATCAGTTCATCAAGCTTAACAGATTTACCGCCTGCGCATGGATGCCACCACGAAGGCTTGTTTTCTTACGGCGTGTTCAATGCGACACCGCAGGTTCTCGCAATGCGGCTGTCAGGTAAAGAGCATGCACGCCTGCAGACCCTATCGTGGAAACGGCAGCGATGCACGTGCTTGCGGACTGTTGCGGGCCCCGCGAAAAAGGGATGTGAGCTTGGCGGAGTGCATGCCAACTGCTCTCCACGCATTTTATTTACCTTAAGGTCCAACTTTCCAGCGTCCGCCTGGGTCAAGCCGTGATCGATCAGGCAACACATGTTGGGGAAACACGTGGCAGCAAGCTTTGTCAAGCCTGTGCTGCAGGGATCGCAGAGCGAGGCGTGCCCTGATTTTCTTGGGTTCCGGCGACTAGTTTGTCCAAGTAAGCGAAGAGAAGCTTGAGAAGGGACTACCACCTTCTTCTCTAGTCACAACTAAAGTATGCGTAGCCTTGGACCAACTTGTAGAAGGCTGGGCTCGACACCTTGCATGTACCAACAATATGCATAGCTGGCGCTGCCCACATGTTTAGCCGTTTTCGCCGTCCGAGATGCAGCCTCGTCAACGAGCGATTAAACCATCTCGCTGCGGGAAGCGCGGATGAGCACGAATGCCGGTGAAGGACAGTCAGTGACGGGACCGGCACTTCTGAGCCAGAATATTCATGGTAGGTCAGGCACCGATCTGCATCGGATTTTCCACATGGACAGAACGATTCGCATGACTCCCGACAGGCGATGCTGCTACAAGCTCACATCTGTCAAAGATCGGCAGGTGAAAATGACAGCGCTGCAGGCTCAGCAAGCTGGAGGATCTTCTGGGCTTAGGGCTGAGGGGTTTATAAGGGTTTAGGGTAGAGGGCGGTGTGACCACAGACTACGGTACGATGGGCATATGAGTAAAGTGCTGCATCAGGCGTTACAAGAACACTCAGGCAAGCAACCAACAAAGAGCAAGCTGTCGGTGCAGTGACGGAGCGAACAGCCTTTATTATACCATCTGGCGCCCAGAGCGTAGGTTCATGCCCTGAGTGAGACCTAGTCCATAGTCTCCTAATTGCGGAACACAGATGCCAGCCGGCCTGACGTGAACCCTTTAAGCGGGGCGGCGGCGCTTCAGCCTTGCATGGAGGTATGTCAGCTTGCGCTCCGACACATGTACCACCGACATGCATTCCTCGCAGTGCTCCCGCGCTAGTCAGTCGAGATAAGCGCGGATGGGCACGAATGCCGGTGAAGCACAGTCATGTACGGGCGACCCATGCGGCGGCATGGTGCTACAAGCTCACATCTGTCAAAGCTCGGCATGAGAATGGCACTGGGAATCTGGAAAACACAAACAGCATTGAAGCAGCCAGCCAGCTGTACCTCGGCGGTGGCTGGAGCCTGAAACCCAGCCCTCGAAGCTCAACCAAACGAGTTTCTGGAGGCGGCTTCTAAGCACGTGAGTTTGTGAAGCAGCTGGTTGCAATCGCGTGGCCTGGCTTCATTGATGACAGGACAGGGCATGGTTGCCTCAGCAAGCTGGGGGATGCGGCACGCGAATGCGGGCCGGCCTGACGTAGAACCCTTTAAGCGGGGCGGCGCAGCTTCAGCCTTGCATGGAGGTAAGTTGGTTGGTGCTCCGCCGCATGTACCAACGACATACGTTCCTCGCAATCCTCCTCTATTACATAGTCGGGAGCGATTGAACCATCTCGCTGCGAGAAGCGCGGATGAGCACGAATGCCGGTGAAGGACAGTCAGTGACGGGAACGGCACTTCTGAGCCAGAATATTCACGGTAGGTCAGGCACTGATCTGCATCGGATTTTCCACATGGACAGAACGATTCGCATGACTCCCGACAGGCGATGCTGCTACAAGCTCACATCTGTCAAAGATCGGCAGGTGAAAATGACAGGGCTGCAGGCGCTTTGACAGCTTTCAGCGGCTTCCCCCGGGACTTCTCTGCGATTGGGATCCCCGTGGGAGCCTGATGCTCATTCCGACCCTGGGTTCTGCAAAACTGGACGCAGACCCGTTCAGCTCAGCAGCAGCATCGCGGCAACGTGAGAGCCTACACTGGCCCTCTTTCTTGAGGCAATATGCTAAGCCGCCGCAGATGCAAGTTCCTGTTGGTTCAATCACTCGATGACACGTCTCGACTGCTTGACATGGGAGCACTGCGAGGAACGTATGTCGTTGACTATCTCCTTCCTGACATGCCGGTACGTGCAGTCTTGGGGCAACTGCCTGCACAAACGCCAACATTGGTGCTCGGCATATTCGCAGACTGCTGCCAGAAGCAGGAAGAACCTAATATACTGCTGGCTCACCGATGTGAAATACGTGCTGCATGCATGTAGAGCAGGTGCAAAACAGCTTCGGCAATCACTCCCTAGCGCGAAACGTTCACAGCTTTGTGGATCTGCCTGCCAAGAGATCATGTGGAAACGTTCACACTTTGAAACCATTGCTCGAATTTCCAATCGCACGACGGCAGAACTGAGTTTCCGCTAACTATGGCAACGCCTCCAAGTCGAAGGTCCCGGGCGCACACAGCACCAGTCCCGTGATCCAGCTGGCGTCAGGCATCACTGTGAGGTCGCCATGCTCGCCGAAATCGTTTAGATGGAAGCCAGACACCTTGTACCTTCTGTCCGACGCGCATCGTGCAGCCAGGCAGAAGGCGAAGCTCTGGGAGACGATGCAGCGATAGCTATGCAGCTATCTACGGGGCTCCTTACTTAAAACTTGGAGGCAAACGGCTAAGCAGCCCTTTCAGCGATCTTCGAGGCGGGTGTGCTGGAGTTTCTGCCTAGTGAGCTCCACCACTGAGGTGCCTTAGAGGTGACTCCTCGAAGATCTGGAGGCCCAAGCCTGTCCTGCATGCTACACGATAAGCCGACAGCACTGCGAAAAGGTGGGCCCCCAGCCCTCCATCATCGGTGGATAATGCCATGGGTGCTGCGGGCCGTCCCAAGGTTGCTGGCGGCCTCCGTCCTATGAAAAGCAGTCGAGATGCCACTTTGCAAAGGCAGGAATGAGCACGAATGCGTGCGAAGGAGGCACCCACTCCCATCACGTGCCCTTCTCCCCTGCTGCATCTGCCCACTGCCACCCTCTGCTCCATGCAAAGCAACGGCAGAACGGCAGCAGTCTGAAGGGGTCACAGCTGCTTCAATCGCATGTTCACTGCCACGCACTTTGACACCGGTGCTGTACAGGCGATCGACTCTGAAAGCCCCGCCGCACGACGGCACACCGCCTCGGCACAGTGCAGCTTGCAGACACAAATCTAGCATAATTAGATTCACAGCTCTCCCCGCTTGCAGAGAGTCGATGTACGGTCTAGGACTCGAAATAACTTCTGTCCAACGCGGATCTCACAACTACGCAATATAAGTAGTAGCCGATGGAACAATCAGCAGAAACTTAAGAAGACCAGGTGATAGTCGTACTTGCAGCATTACTCGTGGTCGTCGTGCCGTCGTCGTCGTCGTCGAAGCCACCAACAGCATCAACAATGGTAGCAGCACGCGAAGGATCTGCAGCGGCAGGGCAGCAGAAATATAGTAGAGCTGGTGCACTACAGCAGCCGAGTTTCCTTTGGTTGGTAGGGAATGGAAGGATGGTAGTCATAGTAGTTATATTTGGACCCCATTTTTCCATTCCCTACTAACCAAAAGTAAGCCGAGCAGCAGAAAGCAGCGAATACCATCCCGTGGACCCGGCCTCCGATGCGGAGCCTAGGCCAGGCCCCCGATGCACCTCAGAGCTCCCGGGGAGAAAGGATTATAAGGCGTCTACCTCCACATGTTGATCATCGCTTTTCGCATGGCTGCACTGGGCAAGCAAGCGGGAACACGATGATGGCAGGGACGGCTAGAAGCTTAACCGAGCGAATGCATGTCCAGAGGCGAACTAAATGGGCATCAAATGTATTCTATTCGCGGTCTTGGCAGGGCCACTGAGTCTGAGGAAGACATCGGAAACATGCTTCCGATAAACGAGGAGCTGTCCCACCTGAAAGCTCAAGTCTTCGACACGATGTGCTGAACCGTTTGCACCGGATAGGGTCCTCAGCAGCACATCTCAAACCATGGGGTATCTGCTCATCCTGGTTTCCACACACTCCCAAAGCTACAGCACTGGCCTCATGCAAGCTCAGATAGCTCATGCGGAGGGAAACCCATCCAACAATCAGCACAGCGCAACATCGTGCAATCCGCCAACAAGCAGGAGCCTCAGGAG